CTTAATGTCGACTTATTTGATGCTAGAAATTTTAATATAGATTTTTTTTTTGGTTTCCGGGATTTTAATATCTATTTATTTCATAATAAGGATATAGATATAGATTTTTTTTTGCATTTTGGGATTTTAATACGATTTATCTGATACCAAGGATTTTAATGGAGATTTTTTTTTTTGCTTTTCAAGATTTTAATAGCGAGTTATTTGGTTTTCAGGATTTTGATAATGATTTATTTACAACTTCTGGTGTACTGCTTGGCACTGGCGCTCTTCTGGTATACGGTGGCGTTCTGCGTTATTTCGGCTTCTTTTCAAAATATAATGTATGTCTTTCGATTTATTCATTTTTTTCAGATTTTTAACTTTTTTTTCAGTTTTATAGTTTTTTTTTGGAGTCTTTTGCCCAATTCATTTTTTCCTCTTTCAGATATTAATTTTGACGCTGAAGAAATCACTCCCAAATATTCTTCGTTTTATGTCCTGCACAGCAGTACTGTACGCTGGTTTTCTGATTGCTGGTTGGGTCATCATTGGACCGTACAGTCTAAAGGTCCCATTTGAGTTTCGCTTATATTCCATGGAAGAGAATTTTAAAATTAGCCCACCCTGTTGTCGTGCAGTATGTCGAAGGTTCAGTTCCTCCGCTTCTGTGAAAACCAAGCCCTTTATAATTCATCCATGGTAAAATGGTACTGGCATATGTGGGAAAGTCGAAGATTGCTTATAAGCAACCCTCGAAAGAATATGGTTTTGTCCGTCTTATCAGCGGGTGGTTGCTTTCGGCATTTTTTGCTGTTCCTTCGGTTTTTTCCCGATTCTTTTGGTTTCCGCAGAGTGTAAATAAGGAAGAGGTTTTGTATTGAGATGGAGGCATTTAGAAGTGGCCCTGCATATTAGTTTAGGGTTTCAGATTTTCGAAAAAAATTGAAAAAATCCAAATTAAATTTTAAAAAAATTCAAAAAATTATCTTAAAAGCCTTAAAAATTTTCGAGCTTTTTAGCAAGCGAATGCATTTTTGTTTTTCTGGCAAAACTTTCGTTTACTTTGATACTGAGGAAGCTGATTTTTCAAAGTATTCAGTATGTGTAGACCTGCTGTTCGCTAAAGACGTATAAAAAACTTAAAGTTATTACTTTGAATAACTGTTCGCTTTTTTTGGCACCCTCCTCCCCTTTTTTTCACCACCTATTGAGTGCTCTGAAATGACGTAAAATATTGGCTTCAAACTGCTTTACTTGAACCCCCACCATTTTTAGGTGACCCATGTTAACTTCTTGTGTGGAGTCTGCTGTTTCTATGTACTTGAAATCAAACGTCGAGGTTGACATGGTTATCGACTAGTAGCACTTCCACTTCTCCAAGTTCTGAGTTTTACTGCATCCACTTAACTTCACCGAAACGCTATTGAACTGGCAGGAAAATAAAGCGGAAATTTTAAAGCAATAATTTTTCAGTTCCGTACATTGGGACAATCATCGGAAGCGTTATTTTCGCTATTGAATGGTGATGATATGTTTGCGACATTCTTTACAATTAACGAAACGAATACAATCGTTCGAATATTTGGCACAATCTATATCTATCTGTTTGTTTCACTGTTCATTTATGTTGTCCTCTCACTATTCATTGCGATTATTATGGATGCTTATGAAGTAATCCGGGTATGCGATTTCATATTTTCAATTGCAAAGCAATTAGTTTTATTTAATTACAAAACAATACTTATAATGTTTTATTTTTGTGAGCCTTTATTTTTTTATAATTTTGCATTTCGTCATTTATATTGGTGTTGAGAACAGAATAAATGGTTTTTTTTGGCTTAGTAAGGAATTTCTGTGAATCGTTTTCTGAAAGTTTAAAAAATTTTTCTCATTTTTTTTCGAATTTTTCCATTAACTTCCTTCCAGGATCGTTATCGAAGTCAAGAAATTGAGGAGCCATCGTTATTGCAATTTTTGGCTGCTGGTCAACATCCGGACCCAACGAATGATGCGGAAGCAAGATTTCAGTATTCTTCAAAAAATTTGCTCAGACTAGGTAAATTCATTGGCAGT